AAGGCACATTAATAACTAATAATTGTTTTCTTTCAAGAAGTTCGTGTAATCAACAGTAATAAATAAATTTGTAGGTATAATCAAGTTGCTGGAATTTCCTAAAATCCCCTTTCACTCATCCCATGGTTTGTATCAAATAAAAAAAATTAAGAAAACAACGCTGCTGGAAAAACTCTGTATGATCACTAATCAAATTCTTTTGTTCACGAAAATGTTGTCTTTCATTTGGGTTTGTTCTTAATAAGACAGCATAAATGAACGTCATAAATTGTCTTGTCCAAGCTCACACTGAGACCCACGTTCCGGGGCTCGGTCAGGTCTAAAACATGAAACTTGACAGGGTCTCTTTCATATGGGCTTGGTTTCGCCGGAGTCCCAGTTACAGTCTAACTCGGCAGGCACAGGCCAATTTCTAGATCGTGATTTTAGCCCAGGCCCCAATCCGGTCATACGCTACTGTCTCATACAAAGTTCCCCAATCTTTCTCATCCTTTTCTTTCTTTTTAACGAGAGCTCCCTTCTGTTCTTGACTGTAATAAATCTTTGCTTGATTCTCAAATGAATTAATTATGACTTAGGATCCCTTTTTTAAAAAAACAAATCTAAGCAAAACATTTTTATACGGAAAATATTCTCCTATATTAAAAAAATTATTTTTCTATAAAATAAATTATTTTTTTATTGATGATGCTTGAAGGATAATAACAGGATATTAGTGATAGTGATTATGATAAAAATATTAACATTGATTATAATTATGATGGTAGTATTTGTTAAAGGAAAGTTAGCTAACCATTTAAAGCTAGCAAATTATATATCTCATATAGCTTTAACTAGTAATTTCTTTGTTTGTAAATCTTTTGTTTATTTAGGATATACTAGATGTTAAGCTAATTGTATGTGGTATTCTGAATATTATAAAGGCCGGAAATCAGCTTGTATAGATTTTATATATTTGTATTTTTCTTAAATAATGAAAACTCTCTAGCAATATAAAATAGTTTTTTTTTAAGCTTTTTAAGTTTAATATGGTATTAAAGCCATGATTTTGATTCATTTTATGTCTCTTACTCATAAACCTAGTTCAGTTCTTTTTTTAGTTATCGAATAAGTTATATATTTTTAATGACAACAACAATTTAACCTGAAAAATTTCACTTCGATATATTTATCAAAGGCATGGATTTATAAGATCATATTGAGAGCATCAACCATGTTCCTAATAAAGATAAAACAAGGATTTGTACGTAATAAAAAGTTAAGGATGTCCAAATCATGATATGATTTCTCAAATATATATATAACATAAACTTTTCTTAAATCTCCAAACCTTTAAGATTGTTGCCAAAATGTAAACTTACCTAAAACATTTCTACGGTCAACACAATAATACTTGTCAATTTCAGCTTGAACTTGAATTGGCCAATCTCAAACAAGATAATCTTTTTATTTTTGATTTTTGCTTTAATTTTATGAATTTTTTAACTAAATATATTGATATTGTGTCCGCTCACTTACCTCTCAAAGGCTCTTACCTTTAGATTACTTGGTCATACTCATTCATCTCCTTCGTTGCATCAAGAATCTCTCTTTCACTCGATTATTTGATCATACTCTGACCTATTTTACTTTTTATATTTTTGGATGTCTGCTTTGTTCATCTCTCTACACTTGAATGCACAAAACTCATGGCTCAGCCTATCTAATTTGATTTTCTAAGATATTTTATACACTAAAAAGGTTTTTTTTGTTATGATTAAAATCTAGGTTGTATTTGAATTTCTAGAAATGTGATCTTTCTAGAAAACCAATATTTCTTTCAAATTCATCATGATCCTATTTACCTTTAATTCTTTTTTCTATGTCATTATTTACTAATTATTTTTGCATATTCGATAACTCTTAAGCCTTTCCTAGTACATTAGTGACAATCTAGTTCCCATCAACTTTGATTCCAGCACCTCTTGAGTCCTTTTCAGATCATCCCCTGATTGTTGATTCTGTTTCAGCAACTGCACTCGCTTCTCTCACGTATGGTTCTTGAGTTTATAAACCCCTATATAAGTTTGGTTTTAAAAATCCTTTATCTTTAACAACTACTTTGTCTTCTATTTTTATTCCTTCAAGTTACAAACAAGCAATGGTATATACGAGTTGGTGAAAAGCTATTGAAATAGAATATCTAGCATTACAAGAAAACCACACTTAGAATGTTAATGTTTTCTCCATCTATGAAACATATTAAGAGTAAATGGATGTTTTCTAAAAAGCTTCATTCTAATGGATCCGTATATCATTACATATTGAGAGTATGGCCTAGACCATAATGAGACATTTACACTAGTCACTAAGATGACCACTATACGTACAATCATAACCCTTGTGGCCTCTCAATCCTAACCTTTACATCATATAGATGCTAAAAATGCATTTCCGCATGGTGGTCTCAATAAGAAAGTTTGCATGGAATTTTCATATGATATGCTTACTTCTTCACCTACTAATGTTTGCAAACTAAAACTTTTTATCATGGTTTGAAACAGTCATCAGGAGTATGGTTTGAAAAACTTTACACCATTCTCTTTGGGTTTTCATTTACTCGGAGTCAGTACGACTCCTTTCTTTTTTAACAGAGAACATCTAACTGTATAATCTCCCTTCTTATTTAGTGAATAACATTATTGTCTTTAGTTCTGATATGACAGTTATCTCTAATATTAAAAAATTATTATATCTTTCTTTTCACATGAAAGACCTTGGGCAACTCACCTATTTCTTGGGGTTAGAGGTGCATCACTAACTTTAAAGTATTTTCTTAAAATCAGAACAAGTATATTTAGGATCTCACTCATTTAGCATGACTCACAAAATATCTACCTTTATGTGTTTTATATTGTCAACAAGTTCATGCTAGCTTCCTGAAATCCCCACTTTATTTTTGTTTACCATTTCATTCGATACATTATTGGCACATTAGTCATGACTTATTCTTTCCTGGTTGTTCTTTACTCCAATTACAAACATATTGTGATACTTGATTGGCATGGTTGCTTAAACACTAGAAAATTCACTACTAGATGGTGCTTATTTCTTGTTAATGATCTTATCTCTTATAAATACAAGAAGCAAGATTGTGTATTTTAATCCTCTATTGAGGTAAAGTATCGTGTCATGATTATTGCCTACTCCAAAATCATCTAGTTATATGGTCTCCTCATAAAGCTTGATTTCTCCCAGGTTCACTCTACTCCATTACATGATAACAACATTGGTGTCATCCAAATTGATGTCAACCTTGTCTACCATAAGCGCACAAAGCACATAGAGGTTGACCACTTTATTCAAAAGGTCTTTGATTGTAAAGTTATTATCCTTTCACACACCTCCGCTACTCTACAGATCTGAGATATCTTCACCAAAGCTATGGCACGTCAATGACATCATTTTCTTGTTAGCAAATTGATGTATGTAAATTTATCAGCATCACTTTGAAGGGGGTGTTAAAAGAGTGTGTTGGTCATTTAAAGTCATCATATTCTATACCTTGTACATCTTTGACAACTAATTTATTTGTTTGTAATATATTAGTTGTAGGCTAATTGTGTATGGTAATTTTAATGTTCTAAAGGTTAGAAATTAGTTTTTATAGTTTTACATTCTTGTACTTTTTTTGTATAATAAAAACTCTTCATTGAAAAAAAGTAGTTTTTTCCTCAAAAGCTCTTTAAGTTTAACAATATTTACGGTAATAGTTATGATAAGGTTTGCGATAATGGTGGTGATTGTAGGATGATAGTTGTTTTAATAGTGACAATATAATAAAATAGTGATTGTAATGATGTTTACTTTAATCATAAAATGGTGGCAGGGGCAACAACAACAATGACTAATGGTGATGATTGTTATTATGATAGTGATGATGGTAATAGTGGTGAAAATGGTATTGCAGTAGTTATCATATAGATAATCAAGAGGCAATGACATGTAGTGTAATTGATAATAATAAGGTGGTGATTATTATGGTGGTGATGGAAATGGTGTTAAGAAGTTATGGTAGGGTAATGATAAAATGATTGATATATTGATAATAAAAGGATAGTGAAATAATAATGGTATTAGTTATATGGGTTGTTGTTCTTGTTGGGGT